TAAACAAAAGTTGGTCGATAACCGATTTAATGAGAGCATTTAAGATAGATATAAGTTGCAAGTAAAGCGTATATAAAACGTTTAGCTGGCGTGAACGAAGGGCGTAAAGGAAGAAGGCTTAGTTATGTTCGCCATCAAAAAAGGGTGAAAACTGACGCCGATTTTTGAAAACAACGATTTGCGCAATATTGCCTTTTGATCTGAACTGTGATAAAGACTAATTGTAGGTAGTGCATAATAAACTTAGTTAATGCTTGGAAAACTCATGTTAATTCTCATGACTTTCAGTGTGACTGCTTATCAAAGACTACTCGAAACATTAGTATTAATAATCAGAAAACGCTAATGAAACAGATTAATCGTGCCAAGAGAGCAGTTAGCCTACTAAAAGAAAATTTTAAAACGTTTGTGACAACCTTAAATGAGAGATGACAAGGTAAAGGTATGTTTAAAAATAAAACCATTGTTTAATTTGCTTAAGCATTTTTTTCCTCCCGAAATTATGATTTAATTTCGAGAAATCTCATCCATATTTCATCAAAATTGTTTTTCTCATATTTTTGCAAACTGATATTTTTTATGTGAAGACAATTTGTTCAAGCCTTGTTTAGCTTGTTTTAACAAAATCAGAATTAACTGCCGTCATCTGATTGAATAATTCCATGATAATCAGTTAGTATTATTGATCTCTGTTAAAACGCATGAATAAAGTTTTTGGGAGACATATCAACGGAGATTATTCAATAAAATCTGTGAGTCTACTATTGAAATCTAATTTAATATCAATGAAATTTGCCAAGTGAAATAACTAAATTAGAAATCGATGAAGTTTGCTCCATCAAATTCTTAAAATCGATATAACATCCTCCTTTGCACGAAAATTCACATAGATGTTCGAAAACGTAGTGATAATAGTCAGTATATTTCAAATAGTTCTATTTGATAAAAAATAAAAAAATTTTTTTTGAATAACTTGGACGAATTTAATTATAAAATTAAACTTGAAATTTATATAAATTTCTTGAATCCGCACAAATTAGGCAATGCATAGGCAATCTTCAGATTTTTCTAAATGAATACTTTTTTGTAAAACTTATACAGTTTAAAATGTTGAAAAATTTTATAAGATAATATATAATATGCATTTCTTGGGAAAATTTTGGATTCACGGACTTTCAAAAATAAAATAGACTGAATAAAATTTAAATCTAACGGTATGAACCTCACTCTAGAAAGTGCCGATAAGGCAGCTCGTAATTTGAGTCAGCATACCTGTAGACTGCCAATTTTATGCCTTCAATTTACAACTCAATGGAAGGCTTTCAAAATGTCATATCAAATTCGTATTGATTTATTTTTAATTCTTATTCTCATTACATAGACGTACTTTAATCGAAATTCCGAAATTCGCCAAAGAGAATAGGATCATCGTTGACTTTATGGTTGACGCCTCAATCATTAAAGATTTATTTCTTTATTTGGAACATTTGAGAGTTAAATAAGTTCATGTGTACCTTGAATTGAGTCTGTCTTAATGAGGTATTAAAGATGTTGACTTGGCTTTCGCTTTTCTTAAAACCAAAACAACAATTGCTGTTCCAAAACGATATTCTATAGCTTCTTGGTTTATTGTTCCAAAAGAAAGGTATTGCCTCTTCCCTGGACGCTTTAGTTCTGAACCAGTATGAAAACCAGTATGTAAACCAACACATTTACAGACCGAATATTTAGAGAAATGTTTTGGTTGTTAGCTGTGTAAATTTTTATTTCATTCCTTCATTAGTAGCGGTTACGTCATCTTTTATCCTGCATAGGGGTAAGATATTTAACAATAGTCGTAAAAGAGCTACCGTGAGTGGAATTTTAGAGGTAATTACTCTGCCCATTTAGTGAGAATCCTTTGTGCACGTATTAATGCTATTGGCCAGTCCTCTGCCGTATGAGGATATCTCTCGTGTAAAATCATTGAGTTTCACGTAATCAGACTTTACTTTTCATCGTTCTAAAAATTGCTTCTTTTAAATGTACTTTAATTATTTTCAAATCAGGCAAAAGTAAATAATTTCGTTGAAGTTGTATTGACTCTTTAATGATACTTTGTCGATAAAATAAGTCTTATATGAATATATATATATATTGTCAAATAAAAATGATATTTAAATTTAAAATATTTTTCTTATATTATACTATGTAATAAAAGCAGTCCAAATATTGCATTTTAACTATGCTATTACTATAATTGTTATAACGAACAAACTTGAAAAGTCTTCTTTATTCATTGACTTAAATTTAAACCCAGGAATATAATTGTTAAAGTAAATCAAACAAATATTTATTTTTCCTCCATTCCGTTGAAAACGAAAAAATTCTTGCCGGTAGACTTCTGATTGAATCACTGACCGACCCTGAAGTAAAATCACGCGGAATTTTACATATTTTTTAATATCTCAAAGATATTTTCATTGCCAATCGCATGAAATAATATTTAAATTCAGCGTGCAGTAAAATAAGGAACTAAAATTTTAATTAACCTGTACTCACTCGCATATTGATGGAGAATGTATAAATAATTTTTTGTGCAAATAAAATATGTTATATTTTATTTCACTTGCCTGCTAAATTCCCATTCGCTATTATCTAAAGGACATCTTGAATTTGGACTACTCTCAAGCCAACGATTTATGCAATGTAAATGGTAAGCGTGCTAAAAGGCGAAAACATTTTACTAAATACTAAATGACAACTAACTTAAATTTTAAGAACAAATTAACAAAACAAAAGAATCTGTTAGAAAAGCTATCGTAATGCACTTAAAGTAGATTAAAAGTGAAAGATGCTCAATGGAACAAGTTGCTTGAATATTTATGTAAGATAAGTAGGGTAGCATAATTTTGCATTAATTTACATTGCAAATTCCCCAAGCAACTGCACAAATCTCGTCCGGTGTATTAATTCCGACTTTCGCCTGACAATGGATGCCTACATTTATTAAAGATAAATATTATTATTTTATTATTATGAACTTAAGTTATAAAAGTTTGCAAAAATATACGCATCAGCTAACGCAAAACTGAAAAGGATATTTTTTAAAAAAATTCTGACTTTGTCTTCAATTATTAATTCAAATTATAGGCATAATTATTAGGATATTTTATTTGCCTTTAGCCTCTTAACTCAAAAATATGCTTTTTACCCAAATTGTTAATTTAACTAATGACGATTGTTATGTGAAGTAAATTATCGATTTTACAATATAACATGCAATCAGTTCTCTCCTCATTTAAGCTTGAGCATTCAAAATTTACGGCATTTTAGTTTAAAAATCACATTGCCAAAATGATCAAATTAAGCCTGTTGAAGTAGCTTAAAAGATAAGAAAACGAAACCGCAATAAAAACTTTATTTGATCAATTCTCAACCATTAACTTTTAAGGGAATTAGGTCCAATCTAAAATTTATTTATTTCAGAACCTTCTGCATAAAAAATTAAAAAAATTGTGAAAATTTAAATTACACAAGTCAACAACTTTAAATAAAACCATCAAAGATTTATGAAATGTGTACTATTTCTTGTAACTGAAATAATGATTAATAAGAAATGAGATTATGTCTGATATTTTATTATTTAATGAATCTAAAATTCACTTTAATCACAGCTTACAACTGTTATTTTATCCTGGTTTAAAAATCATCAATGAAATATTTATTTATCGTAGGAGATTTGTCTTAATTAACCTAAGTAATCAATCACTATTTTTAAAGTTTATTTATAATTAATACATTTAATATAAACAAAAACATATTTATTACTTAATCAATAAATCTCAAGAAGTTATTAGATTATTGAATATATTATTAAATAAATTAAGGAATTAACTTTTTTCCTGACAAGTCGAATGGAAAATATAGCAAATTTATCACATCTTAAAACAATCGCGATCTCATAAGCTAAAACGTAATTGATTTTTCGGCCTTTGGCTTTCAAGATGAAGCATTTAATTTTTTCCAGAAAAATACAAACGAATTTATATTTCGTGAAAATGATTTCAATAAATCCTGCCATTCTTAACTTTGGGTTGATCTTCAATAGGCAACAAAAGCGATTCTGTCAGTTGGCTGATGATAAGATACGATAAAGTGTTCAATAATTTTTATGGGTTGACCAAAATTTAATTCTAGAATGGTTTATATAAGAGTGCTCTCAGTGGCAAAAATTAAGTATAAAATTGCGTATCATATTTGGGAAATAACAGCATTCGAAATTACATAGAGCTAAAGTGTTAAATTTTGCAATTACTCTTCAACTTACAGGGGCTCATCATTGCATTACGGCAGATAACACAAGTATCGTGGATCACGTCCCAGGACCAAACAGCGCAAGCATCCCATTTACGAATTTGAAAATGATTCAGATCATCTTTCTTTGTGTCAAGATTATTGTCTTTTTCAGTTTCGTTTGGCGTCTTCCTATCTGTCAAGGTTGATATTATGTTGTTTTCTGAAGATTTTACACTATTCTTTTTGTTATTATTTGCCGCAACTCCATCGTTTGCAGGAGCGCTGTTGGTACTTGCCGCATCTTGCTGCGCATTTTTCTTTCGCCATAACATTTTGAGATTTCCACGAGGAAATCACGGGTCCTGTTCCAACATGTTTATTTGCACGTGTAATTGATTTGAATAGAAATGCATGGATAGCCTAACATATGTAAATATTTATTTTTTTTCAGGAAAAGGACTCAGATGACATAGCTGTTAAATATTATCCGAAGTTTCTTGTCAATTTTTAAAGCAGTAGATAGCCACAGTATAGAGCTAATTGGAGGAGAAATCCACATCTAAATTGCTATAAATATTAGCGGATTATGTTCAAAATTGAGTTTGAAATATGCGAATATAAGACTAAAGACAATAACAGAGTTTCAATAATGATTAGCGGCCCGAATGCAAATCAATAGATCTGATAACTATTGATAATCTGAAATCTATCTTGAACTCAAGGTGCCCAAGCTCTCCGAAGACAATTTGCGCAGAAAATACACTTTCCTAGTTCCTCCCTTCCTTTCTTGGCAACAGTAATATCAAAGCACCAATAGGAAATTATGCTGTTTTTGAAAAATCTAAAAGTTGATTTTATATATGCGATAGTAACTTATTAAATTGCTAATTTACTTTTAACGCTTTCAATGCATTAAACGTGTTTTTAAATTTACAAATTTTCTCTCTTATTTTCTCATTATTATTTTGTTCAATACAAACGGTAACTGCAAGATTTTCAAGAGTTCAATGCACCCGATAATAAAAACACTACTTGAACAATAAAAAAGTTTGCCAAACAGATAGAGAAGGTTGCCAAATACAAACGATGATGGAAGTTTAACAGGAGCTGAAAACGTTAGTGTAGAGCTGTGCTCAAGGCGGTTCTGTATGAGCGAAGTAGACGTCATCTTCAGGTAAGGTTATGTGCACTAGCACATGGGGTCTGTATTTGTCATATCTTAAGTGGTACACCCTGGGCAAAGTATACTCATATGTCAAAAAGTATATTTACCGGCAGTTGAACTCAAACTACCATATTCCAACTGTATATCGTATTCTAGCACTTTCACAGTATTACCCCACTTTTTTCTCTTCTATTTGTCCGCCTCTTTTACATCTGTGAAACAATCTACTGTCCCCTCCCTCACGACCTTTTGTTCCTTTAATATTCCTTCCCTTTGTGAATCTTGAATAAACTGTGGATATTCAATCAATAGGAATTTCTATGCGTGCGTTAAGGAAATTGTTGAAAATAAAAGAAATGTTTTATTCTGAAACAAGTTCCTTAGTATTAACTGGAAATGGTTTTTTGCCATTAGACAAAACACTAAATATATATCTAGCTGAAAACATTTAAGGATATTGTTTTCGTTATAGAAAAATCATTTATTAACATTGCGTGCTTTGTGACAATCTAATTTGTATGTCGAAATTGTGTACTTTCATATAAAACCGTTCGGCCTGCTCAAAGGATTAGCTGATGCGTACTATTGGCTGCACCAAAACCACCAATCAAAATTTCGCAAACGAAAGCGTATCTAAATTTTACCATGTTCTCACATTGTATTCTGATGTGGTGATTTTAAAACTTTGAGGGCATTTAAGAAATCCCAGAAATTGGCAATATTTTGAGGAAAAAACATGGAGAATCCAAACACAATATATGGTTCGTTGTTGATATTAATGTACTGATTGTCTTGAGCTTGAAATCAAAATTTATTTTTAATACACATTATGATGCCTAACATTTATTCAACTACATTTTTAAAAATTATTTGTTTTAATATTATCTGTTTAAGGTGTTATATATATCTGAATGAATAATTGCTAATTTAAAACGGCTAAATTTTGTGCATTAAATCTTACCATTAAATAGACTAATTCAATTTCATACTCCATTTAAGCTTCATTTCTACGTTTAAAAAAAGGCCGCTAAATATTTTGTCAAAATTGCCTTTCAACTGACATTCCACGTGCAATGGGAAACGTAAAAAACGAATAAAATAAGTGAACAAATTATAAAATTGAAAAATTTCATTTTTATTAGACGAATTTATGTTTGTATTTCCAAAATTCTTTCCCCTAATGAAGTTCCCTAAACTGTCAGAAATTTTGCAACACCTTAATCCAATTGCTACTTTATAAAAGGAAATTGGGGGAAATATATAAATATAATTTATTTTCATGGGTAAATTGACGGAGATAAAATAATAATTGTGATCAAAATATCAGCGTGATTTTAATATTTTAAAGATACAATATCCAGATTAAATTTATTTCCCTGAGGAAATGTTACATATTAAGATTATTTCGATAAGAGGTTTACTAAATGTGATATTATTTCATATTACGGAGATTAAACTCGGATTAATCATTATATTGCAATGTGAAAGAAGTGAAAATAAGCAGTTTTATTTAACTTTAAATTACTTCAAATTGTCAAAATGTGAACTCGCTTAGGGCATTTGCAAAATAATTTAAAGTTTAAAATAATACTTTCATTTGGTTATCAATTAATCTGAAACAGATAATTATTAAATTTACAGCCTTTAATTTCAATTTATCAGAGAGATACTTTAGAAGTGTCAATTTATATTGATTTGAAATGTCTAATGGCTCTAAATAAAATATTACTTTCCTACCATTTTCAAGTTAAATTTATTGCCATTAAAATTTAAATACAGCGGCTGCAAATAACGTTTTACTGATCACCCTTTGTTAAAAATATCAAAATCGCTCTTTGTTTAGATTCGACACCACGAAGCTACTGATCAGTAATGTTACAAAATCATTTCTCATAATTACACATCTTAGTCTGGTTTCATATTGACAATCAGTATTTTAAATAACACCATTCGATAATTAGTATTATCATTTTTAAGATTTGCATTACCCAAAATTTCATTTTAAATTCCCAAGCGCCATTACAAAGAAAGTTTGAGGACACTTATAATGCTTTCAAAACTTTATTGGCCAAATTTCGGTCCATTGAGAGAAAGTTCGTTAGTTAAGATAATCAATTTATCAATCAAATTTAATCTAAACCCAATTCAAAATGGATGGTAGACATCCCACCATTTAAACTATTCCCTACTGCTGTGACTTCAACTTTGAGATCACTTAATTTATCTTTTGGCTCTGTTCGCACACCGAAGTTTATTATGATGCGTTTTTCATCATTTGCCTCAAGTTTGCAACCAATTGAAGTTGTTCAGTATTGATATTTGGAGTGTTTGCAAATTATTTTCCATGCAAATAGGAGATTTACTTTATTTACCTACAGTAGAATAAATATCCATAATGCAATTGATTAAATTTACATTAGATCCGATTGCAACCTGAGTCATTTCGGAAAGCTGTACAACGTGCAATAGCAGAAATATAGACACACGAATTACTATTTTGGATTTCTAGATAACCATAACATTTGATTTAGCTAAAAACAATTCATATTCACATTTTTCCTGTTTTATGTATTTAATTTCAATTCAAACATGGTAGTGCTTATTGACTGAATGAATAAGTATATCAATTTATTCTTACAACTTATGATCAGTTTTCAATTGAAGCAGCTTGTACTTAGTAATGTTACGGAGCATTGTTTACAACATAGCTCTCACCCAAGGTGAACTTTACTATTACCATAAGTAGTTCCATTATCCCATAATACTTAAATTATATCCCCTGGTTAAACTTAACTTCCAGTTATATAAGATAAGCTAAAATATAAATAAAATTTTAAATCCCATTCAATTTTACGACTTTTTCATTCCTACTGACCAAATTTAAAGTCCGTAGAAATGTGATAATATTCATCTAGCTGAAATATATTTTTCTATAACAAATTTTCAATTGGGTGTCAAAGTTCTATCCATTTTAATTCAATCATTACGCCAACTATCCATTGTTAACTTGTAATGCTGTCACTTAGTTTACTGTTTTACTGGACTAGAATATTGGAAAATTATGAAATATATTGTAAATTAATGTCATGCAAATGAGATGTCATATTTGTCAAAGTCCGTTTTATTTTATTCAATATTGTCTTTCATCCTCTTTTTTTGAATTAAATATGATCGATCTTTCATTTTTGTTTTTTTATCGTTTTGGACAAATTTTCGTCAAAGGCGCAAGCAGTGTTTATCAACGCTAAAACAAAGTAATCAAGTTTGATGACTCAGTTTCCCATGTTTTTATCAAAATGATCTAAATGTACGACTAATCCCTCCCATTTCATAAAAGTTAAAAAAGAGTGTTTTATGTTATCAAACACTTTCAATGAAACTTATAAATATCCAGTAAAACGCAGATTCAGCTCGTTTAGCACAATGCTTCAACCCAGTCTTTGTTTTGCCCTAATAAATTATTCTGCCAGTGAGTGTGTCTCATTTCTGTCAAATTGTAGTTGAGTTCGTGCATTCAGTTAGTCTTTCACTTTTTACAATGCCATTTTCTCTCCATTAGACTCGAATTAAATCATTAAATGCAGCTTTCAATTATTTGCTTTAAATTTTAACGATCAGAATCTGAAATCAATTTCAAATCGGTCACGTTTGGACATATCATTGTTCGACAAGAAACGATCCCATATATAATTTAAGTAAGCTTGAAAAAGCCCAAAATGCGCCAGTAAGCCGTATCATCTCTTTGCAGAAATTTGAACATATAATAACAAGGAAGTCGATTTAAGTAAAACTATTGACTATACACTAATTGAAGACAAACTGGCATATAGTTTTTAAGCATTTTATAGAAATAGTTTTACTTAAAGCTCCTTTATAATAACAAATATCTATTTAGAAGAATGACATGAATTTATTAGACAAAGCGAATCAGTATCGAGAAGGGCTGCTTCAATTTTACTTTGTTTTAAGGGAGTGAATGGGGCAATCTTTTGTAACATTGGAGGAGCATATAATTTTGAATACTCGTTCGTTCCATTGTGCATGGAAAAGGTAAAATAAAAAGAGCCAGCTTGTTCAGAGCTTTTGGGGGGGTGGAATAAAAGCAACAGCCGCGTTAGTTATTGCTTTGAAAAAGGAGGGTGATTGAGTGCAAAATGATTGGCGGTA